TAGACTGTACAGTTAGAGACTTCCTCGAGCAGTGTATGGGGCAGTGGAGTACAATCCTTTGTCATCTGGGCGAGCGGATGATGGCTGCGGAGAACCACATAAGGATAAGAAGGGGTATCTTCCAGGGCGATTGTCTGAGTCCAATCTGGTTCTGCCTCTCTCTGAACCCTCTCAGTACCTTACTGGAGGGCTCCGGGAGGGGATTTCAGCTACGGAGAGGAGGGACAAAAGTGACCCACCTTTTCTATATGGATGACCTCAAGTTATTCGCCTCCAGTCGCTCCCATCTTATGGAATTGCTAAACATCACTTGTGAATTTAGCAATTCCACTACCATGACGTCCCATAGGATGCATCATCCGAGATCGTCGGTAATGAGGTTGTACTTGTCGCGGAAGCATGGTGGTCGTGGCTTCTTGAGCGCGCTCACCATGCATAATCGCGAAGTGTGCAGCCTCCGTGATTACTTCCTGGCGAGATCGGATGATCCATTCTATAAGGACGTCATTTCTTGTGATAAAGGACTTACCCCTCTATCCTTAGCCAACGAGCAATGGCAAGACCCGGCAGTGCAGAGCATTTCCGACCGAGAGACCGTATGGAAGGAGAAGGAGCTCCACAGGAGGTTCTACAAGGCTCTACATGAGCCTTTCGTAGACACAGTAGCCTCCCTCCACTGGCTACGCTTTGGTGATCTCTTCGGGGAAACCGAGGGTTTTGTCTGTGCAATACAGGATCAGGTTATTAAGACCAACAACTATCGGAGATACATCCTAAAGGATGGCACCGTCGACATCTGTTGAGCTTGTCGCCATCCCGGTGAGTCACTTAGGCATGTTATCTCCGGTTGTTCGGCGCTTTCTAACTCTGAGTACTTGCACAGGCACAACCTAGTAGCCAGAATTCTACACCAGGAGCTCGCTCTGAAATACGGTCTCGTGGACCGGAAATTGCCGTACTACAAGTACTTCCCGGAAGCCGTGCTTGAAAATGATCGCGCCAGGCTCTATTGGGACCGGGCCATCATCACAGACAGGACTATTCTTGCGAATAAGCCTGATATTGTGCTGATGGACCGGGCACAGTCAAGGATATTTTTGGTCGACATTACCATTCCGTATGACGAGAACCTCGTGAAAGCCGAAACAGACAAGCAAACAAAATATCTGGACCTGGCTCACGAGGTGACCGACATGTGGGGTGGTCTGCCGACCGAAATTATTCCTGTAGTCGTCTCTGCAAACGGGCTAATCCCAGTCAGCCTCTCGGGTCATCTGAGGCGGCTGGGACTACGTGGCGGACCGCTCCAGGTTCAAATGCAGAAGGCGGTGCTCCTCGATACCGCCCGCATCGTCCGCCGGTTTCTTTCCCTTTCCCCCTAACCCTCGGCCGTTTGGTCTCCCCCTGCCGAGGGCCTCCATCTGGTTGGGCTTTTATTTATTTATGTACTTTTATATTTATTTTATGTTATTGATATTTATGTATATTTATTTTTTCATTTTCATTTATAATTATATATTTATAGAACCCAACCAGATGAGAAAACTATATAGATACCCCATAATAATAATATTCCACAACTATCACACAACGCCATCTAGTCCCAAGCTAAGCAGAGCTTGTGTTATGGGTACTAGACAACTGATAAACATACTTATATATTTCTAAATACATAATTATTACAGATAAATTACACCCAGACACAGAACAAATGATCGTGCTCATCACACAAACATTTGTCCTGGGTGGGAATCGAACCCACGACCTCCGGCTTAGCAGTCAGGGTCACTAACCACTAGACCAACAGGCCTGTTAAGTCTCTGGCCTGTCAGGTCTTAAAATAAAGTATTTTAGCTTATAATAATGGTTGTATTCAACCTGAAAGATAACTCTGACGCATATTTTCGTAAAACGCTGTGAAGGGATTGTCTTCGCTCTAAAAAACCGTCATTAAAAACTATGATTTTGCATTGCTATGTACTAAATAAAGACTTCATCTTTCTAAAGCCCTAATTTTCGGCAAATAATCTCACATCGTTACGATATCGCCCTTGGAAAAACCCTAAAACATGTAGTTTTCGACGCGAAACGCATATGCCCTCTTAATACCCATAAGTGGGCATTCCCCTTTGACTTTAGTTTTAAGGTACATATTTATTTAAACAAATTACGGCTTTTTCACGTAATATAGGCCCTGATACACTTTTTTGTCACGACACTACTAGAACCAGGTGAGTACGCATATGCTTCTTCTACATTCGTTTTTAACCATAATTCGGATTTATACATAATTATGTATATAAAATGCTCGCTGGTAATCCGTATTCTGCCACGTCTATTTTCTTTACCTTACATATTTTACCGCATCAATAACGTCGATCTTTTCACGTAGAGTTAAAGTTGTTAGCTTTTTTTAGTACCTACTTGTTGCTAGTTAATAGTCAAATAAGTATTGATCGACAATGAACAACAAGCTACACGGCTGTGTTACTTAGAAAGCTTAATGAATGTATTCATTCATTAAACTTGTATTACATTGTGAAATTCTCGCCTGTACTTCACCTATACTAAAGAATCTGTATGCTCGTTTGTCATCCAATGCTATAAAAAAAAACTTGGCCACTATTGTGGGGATCCATGTACTCATATTACATTTTTAGTATAGACGAAGTACAGGCAAGAATTCCACAATGAAGTTCAGACACAATACCTAGAGTAGTCTTGAAGTCATTTTATTAGCCAACTGCAAAGTTGACATCGCCATTTATTTACTTAATCAAATTTTATTACAGGATTTAGTTAGCGAGTTAAAATAACTTTATTTATATTATTAGTAATTTATAAAACAAATATTTTTCACTGCATTTAAAACTATAACGCTAATTACATACCTTCTCCTTATTTTGACTACTCTTTGAATAATTCTCCTAAATAAATAAATTTAATAGCCGCATAAAAAAATATTTTGATTTTTTTCTAGTACAATTTCTATTGAAGTCTCTTTTTGACAATTCATAAAAAGGTAAAAAGTATTTCAAATGGTAATTACATTCTCTTTGGTATTTACTCAACTGAAATGATTGTTAACTCACTTTAAAAAAAGAATAAAAACAAATAAAAACTTAAAAATACTTTTATTAGCAGTCAATAAAACTAGGTAATACTTTAATTTATTAAGTTTTTCAAAATACTACTACTTTAGGTTTTAAAAAATTACTTTTTTAAATATTTTAAAATACTTTTCAATTTTTAAGGTTTTAGTTCACAGTACGGTCAGACCTCTATCACTCTTGCTACCTGCGTGAAATAATTACCTAAAATCGCGACGCGCCCGGCCAAATAACGCAGTCAGGGCTAGCGCGTTGGAGACAATTGAATGTTAGAGTTTTTTAACGCTGTTTACGTAAATAGTTTTATGTAAATATTTGATAAATTATAATAGCAAAACGTCGTTCCTACTATAACTGTTGCTTAGATGGATACTAAATTAAATGACCAACAAAAGGTTTTATATCATTCTTTAAGTTACCGAAGAACTTTAGAAGGAAGTTATGAAAGGTGAATTTATTTAATTTTTTTGTTAGATAGGTACTCACAGCAAAAAAGAATTAAGTAATAATTTGGTCTACAGAAGAAATACCTAAGTACTTCATTACAAAAATTAGTTAAAATTTACTTCACTATCCAAGTATTTACTTACATACCTATACTTGTCTTTTGTAATTAAAATATTTTGTGTGTCATTATAAAGAAGGTGGTACCAATCCAGACCACAGAATAAATAGTAGTACTACCGACAGAAGTATCACTACTTTGGTGTGGACTGCTTGCCGACGTTTAATAACCTACATAATTAATCTTAAGAGGATACCTTGAAAATGAATCGAAGTTTTGGGGACGTGGCTTATTCCTATGTCGGTGACGCTAACGGACGACTGCGGGAGTGTCAAAATGAAAGTGATGCAATGACTTCATAGTATGAAAATTATGAGATAGCCATATCGAGCAAGCGCTCGGAAAAATCTAAGTAAGCGAAAAACATTTTTATTTATTTTAACAAAACTTCGTTATGCATTAAAACTGGTTAATGAGAACTTAGATATGATTATTTACTACGCCTTAAAAATAATTCCATGAAATTATTCGTAAGAATTTTGTAGTGTCATCGAGAAATGTAAATAATTAGAGCCTACTTTGCAATTTTTTCTAACGAGTAAATTGATATCGTGTTTTCCTTTTATGCAATCCAAGGTCATATAATCAAAAATCATAAACCAAGAGTTTGGTTTGTAATCTATAAAACTTAAAAAAATATGTTAAATAGAAAAACCACAGAGTTTTCGAGGTATCACCTTAATTAGAGAAATCGCACACGCAAGCTAAATAACACTTTATCGGTGCACGCGAGTGTCCGTATTACTTTGCATCTTTTCCCTTTTCTACGTCACGGCGAACCTTCCCTGATTACTAAGGGCTGTCAATAAAGAGTAAAAAATACATTGCGAAATGGTAAGCAAGTTACTTAGGTGAAATACTTAAAGCGCGCTAGTCCCGACTGCGTATGCGGCCCGAACTGTCTCGCGATTGTAGGTAATTATTTCACGCAAGTAGCAAGAGTGACAGAGGCCTGTCCAGACTCCATCTGGACCAGAGGATACTCCAGGAGAACTGTTAGTCCATTGTCATCAAAATTTTATAAATAAAAACGATATGGGAGCAGCATAAGAGATCATCATGTGAGTGTCCTAAGGTAGAAATGTTTTGATCTTGTGCTACCTATTCAGAAAAGTATAAGATAAAAAAAGAAATGATACAAAAACTTTGTACAAAGATACTAATTTGACTGTCAAGCATAATGAATATAGCAAATCTTTATTACCCTGGGCCCTGGGGGATGCTAATATGCATTAGATCAGTTTTGGGTTGATGCAAAAAACGACTTGATTGCTATTAATGATGATTTATACATTAATTTTCAGCTCATTCACTTATTCACTTACCAGACCAGCTGCGCTCCTGTTGTTTTCTTTATTCATGATTGTCGTTATCTGAAATTTTACCAAATATTGTTTCTTTAAAAATATATCTGGGACGCAAAAACTTCATATTTCTGTCACGCTGTAGTTGAACAACCTAGCTAAATAATAAACATGGTAAGCAGTGCACTGTTGGAGATGTTTATCTCCATCTTCATGGTTTGTTGAAACTTGTATGCTCTGTTCACACAAGCGTGGATTAGACATAGTATGCGAGGCATTTCATTGCTGAAAGTTCATTGCTGAACATAGGCCCAACAAATACCATTAGACCATGTAGTGGTAGTATAAGAATATCCACTACCCTTAATCACACAACGAGAGTTGTAAAAGGCGACAGAATGAAATGATCCAGGAGATAGGCAGTATCATCATCATTACAGCCTGTCACAAGTTCACAGCTGAACATAGGCCTCCCTCAAGAAATGCCTCAAAGCAGTTCTCAGCCACCTGCATCCATCAAATTCCTACATGTCTTATCAAGTTGTCATTCTATCTAGAGGACTACACTACTTTGTTTAGTGGTATGAGTAGCCCATTTCCACTTTAGCTTACCAATCTGTTAGACTATATTGGATACTCTGGTTATACTGCGGATATCCGCATCCCAACAACTACTGGCATAGGTGTGACATTAATATTACATATAATCTTTTTAAATCCATATTCATCTTAAGACCTATTTTGAGGTAATTGAAGAGGTTAGGTCTTCCATGCGATTCTGTCATAAGGACTATATCATCAGCAAATAGAAGGTGATAGACTTGGCATTGATGTTAATATAATATCCTTTTCAGTCCAGAAACTTGAAAACATCTTCCAATGTAACAGTGAAGAGTTTCGAGGATATAACATCACGCTGTCTTACACCTCTATGCTGTTGGATAGGTTTCGTACTCTGGTTCTGTACTCAGATAGCCTTACTGTACAAAGACTTCAGAATTTCAATTTACCAACAGTCAACTTGGAGCCACTGAAGAGACTTTAGCACTGCCCAAATTTTGACGGAATCAAAGATGGCCAACAGCATCTTCCTAATAAAACCACAAAAAAAAACTGCAGTTGGCAACTCACTTGTACTGAGCCATAGCTATATTAAATATCCACCCTATCAACAACAAGAACTAAGTAACAATCTATTAGGAAGGTCTTCATTCAGCAGTGGACTTTTCAAAGGCTATAGCAATAGTGAGCTACCTGCATTCATGAATTTTCTGCATGTGGATCGCCATACAGTTTGCTACAATTACAGTACAAGTATGATATGATCCTTTCTGCCCCATTAGTTGTTGGTTCATTGAGTTAAATTTTTGGCCCATTACCACTCCAGCTGACAGATTTATTTATGTAAACTTTGTTGCACAAATATGTACAAAGACGGGACTCAATACTAAAACTGTACATACATACACACTTAAACTGAAAGTCCATCTTTAATATCCTTTATAATGAGATCAATTTTGTGGCGACCTATTTGGTATATTCTACACAAACCTAATTTGCATATTTCTTGAGTTATTCCTTGTCTTTTTACGTAATACTTGTAAGAAGCAGATTTATGTTTTCTAGCGTTACTGTGTTGTCTTGCTACAGGTTTACTTACAATGCTGCTGAATAATAAGGCATTTATACTATTAGAATGTAATGAATAATATCATATAATGTAAATACCGTAACAAAAAACCGAATACACTTAAATATTTTTTATGAGAAAACAGCAGAAATAAACTTTTCTAATATTACCATCAACCAGACTAAATAATTCAACACTAAATAACGACACATATTGTAAATTAATTGTACCTTCTAGGTACATAATTTATTTTCTTTTGTTTTTGTTTTAATGTATATTGGTGAACAATAAAGAATATATTGATTAATAAATTGATTAACTGTAAAATAGATGGTTAAATATTGTCATCATTACATAAAAAAATTGTAATACGAATATTTTAAGTGTTTTAAACTTACCAAAATCTATGATAGTGCTTTAAAAATTAACACATGTTACTGAACTTAAAAAAGAAAAAGAACTCAAAAAATTAAAGAATGTAGAAACTAATAACAATTTAGTATAAACAAAATAGTACAAGTTGATACATGTACAATTGATGATAACATCATTGTCAAAATCAAAATCTTGACGTTGATACTTGATAGGGATGAAACGATATATCGATTTTTTCAAAAACGTTTTAATATCGATGTTTATGAACGAACATAAATTTTATGTCGCCGTAAAATAAATATTAAAAAAAGGCGAAGTTAGTAAACCTTTAAACTTTTAAAGTAAGAAGGTTTATCTAGTAGAAATAACTCAATTCCGAAAATTTTAATTACGAATCAACAAACAACGGCCTTTCAGCCGTAAATAAAAATTCTCGAATTTCAGAAGTGCAATTGTTTTCAATCGGTAATTTCATTTTCGATGTCAAATTGTCGTAAATTTTATTGTTAAGTTTAAAAATATTGAAAATGAATTGATTTTTCTTATAGAAGAGGGTAGTTAAGTGACTACCACCGCCCATGATCAAACGCAACACCAGGGGAATTGCAGGTGCGTTGCCGGCCCTTTAGAAAGGAGTAAGCTCTTTTCTTGAAGGTCCCCAGGTCGTATCGGTACGGAAAAATCGCCGGTGGTACACTATTCCACAGACAGGTTGTACGCGGAAGAAAACTCCCTTTGAAACGTCCAGTGGTGGACCGCCAAGCATGCAGATGGTGTGGATGATATCGGGACGTTTGCCGCGTAGTGCGTTCACGAAATTTGGCGGCTGGGATTAATCCGAACAATTCCTCAGAGCACTCCCCATGGTATATGCGAAAGAAAATGAAATGCAACATCTCTTCGCAGCGCCAGTGAATCGAGCCGATTGGAAAGCACTCGGTCGTCGACGATTCGAGCCTCAGCACAGAAATGGGAAGAGTATTCCATGTGCGGCCGAACCTGCGCCTTCTAAAGTTGCAGGCGGTGTGTCGGCATGAAATACTGTACCGCTCAGCTGAGCACGCCAAGCTTTTTAGAGGCCAATTTGGCCTTCTCTTCCAAGTGAAGTTTTTTTACGTGGTAGAGCCATGCTGCAATTATATTAGTAGTATAGTTGTAGCACGAATGGGTCGGCTCGACCGGGGAAGGACCACGCTCTCACAGAATACCAGCGTGAAATAGTAGCTTAATGCTGCTGTATTTCGTATGGTGAGTGTAGAGAACCGGAGACCCTTTTTACTGGAAATGAGGCATTCCATCTCAGTCCTCACGGGTGACAACGCATCTGCATTTTGATTTGTAATGGAAGATAGATGTAGATGTCTATGGGCCGCAGCAACCACTTACCATCAGGTGGACTGTGTGCTCGTTTGTCACCCTATCCTATAAAAAAAAAGTGACCACGAAACTGCACGTCACTCGATATGTCGACGTCGAGGATTCCGATACTGGCTGAGGCAACAAGGGGAGTGCCTTGAAACTGAGAAGATACGACAAAGGGGTTCTTTTTGGCGGTTAACGCGCAAACTTGTGTCTTCTGGGGGTTAAACTGGACTAGATTTAGTCGCCCCCAATCCGAGACTCTGTTCAGCAAAGACTCGACTTCAGACACAAGTTTGTCCCGGTACTCGGAGACGTTTTCCCGAGAAATATTAGCACGGCCGGTGTAAAGAGGATCACCAGTGCTGTCATCTGCATAGATATGAATGTTACGGGCTTGCAACATATCATTGATATGCAGAAGAAACAGCGTTGGCGATAGCACGCAGCCTTGTGGAAAACCAGTATTAATAGGCTTGCAATCGGAGCTTGCACCGTGTACAACGACCTTGATGCTACGATCTGCAAGAAAGCTGGTGATCCAATCGCACAATTTCTCGGGAAACCCATAGGAAGGGAGCTTCGAAAGAAGCGCTTTGTGCCAAACCCGATCGAAGGCCTTTGCAATGTCCAAACTAACGGCCAATGCCTCCCCCTTGGACTCTACTGCCTGCGCCCATCTATGAGTTAGGTAGACCAGAAGATCACCAGCTGATCGACCACGGCGAAAACCGTATTGGCTGTTGTTATACAGCTGTTGATTCTCAAGGTACCTCATGAGCTGGCAGTTTACAATGGACTCCATTGTTTTGGAGAACAAGGAGGTGATGGCGGTGGACTAAAGCCGTCTTCCATGATTTTGGGACTACGCCTATGGAGTAGGAGTACCGGAAAAGACGCGTTAAAACCGGTGCCAACTCTGGAGCACACGTCCTCAGCACAATTGGGGGGATTCCGTCAGGTCCACTCGACTTGTGGATGTCCAGGGAGAGGAGTGCTTTGCGAACCGAGCGCTGTGTGAACTGCACTTCCGGCATGGAGCACTCACACCGCGGGATGGTCGGCGGGGTACTCCCCCGTCATCGAGAGTCGAGTTGGACGCAAAGAAAAAGACTAGAAGATCGGCTTTCTCCTTTCCGGTATGGGCCAGTGAGTCGTCCTCCCTGTGCAGAGATGGAAGAGATGGCTGAGAGAAATTCCCCTGGACAGCCTTGGCAAGCAACCAGACTGACTTTGCCTTGGCAATGACTCTTTTGAAGGACCTAGAGGCGGAATTATACTTCTTTTTTAGAGCGCTGGTGTTTACATCCCGGGACGCTGATGCGTCAGCCCAGGCTCGGTAGCACTCCTGCTTACAGCATGATGCTACTTTACAGGAACGACCAAACCATGGCTGAGATTTGCCTCCAATGGGCACCACAGATGAAGGAATAAAATGTTCCATACCCTGAAGTACCACATCAGCGACAGAATCTGCAACAACGTTGGGATCGTCCGGCGAGAAGCAAAGCCGCCCCCAAGGGTAGGATGCAAAGAAAGACCGCATCTCATTCCAATCGGCTGACCTATAGTGCCAAACACGGCGGCAGCCTGCAGAATGCAACTGCGGTTTCAGCGTGAGTGGCACCACACTCCGGATAAAACAATGGTCCGAGGAGCCTAAAGGGGCTTTGACGGAAATCTGATATCCGTCCGGGTGAGAGATCAGCAGAAGGTCCAACAGGGAAGGTGCATGATCCTCCACATCTGAAATCCACGTAGGCGAAGTAACCAGTTGTGTCAGACTATATGCCAAGGCAAAATCATGAACAGATCTCCCCGCATAATCGGTTAAATGTGAACCAAGCCATTCGGCGTGATGGGCGTTAAAGTCGCCAAGGATTACGATCTCTGTGGAGGGGATCTGCTGTAGCAATGAACCTGTAGGCATTTGGACGTGGTCGAAGAGTTGGTCTGTTTCGGCATTACCGCTATGGGACCTATAGAGGCACCCGTAGCCGCGCGGATGGTCGTCGCTGTCTACGCGTAGCTAAAGGATGGACAGGTCCGAACCTTCAAGTCTGCCGAGGCGTCGAGAACAGATGTCCTCTCTGACGTAAACGCAAACTCCAGCCCGAGGCACAAAGGAGTGCTCCAGTTTGTACCCTGGGTAGGAGAGATACGAGACATCAGCCGGAGAGGACACCTGCGTCTCGGTCAGAAAGAGCAGAGCCGGCCTCGCCGTCTCGATCCGTCCGATGGTAGTTGACGGCGTTTAGGTTAGAGTGAAGTCCCCTGATATTGCAGAAATTCATGGACAGCGTGGCAGGGGTCGCCTTGGTCTTGTTGCTCCGTTTGCCCCGAGCAGTTGTAATCTTGAGCGGAATTTTGCCCCCCTCCCAGAATACGCGAGACAGCCTGAGCATCCACGCTCAGAAATGGAGAAACATGGTCGTGGATGCTCAGCGAGGGATTCTCCAGGGGTGCTGGTACCCTCCTGGGGTAGTCTATCATTATTTAATTCCGCTACCATGTTGATGGGGGGGGGGATTCGGGCCTCCGGCCACCTGCACTCACCAGACGAAACGCGGAAGCAGAGCTTCCACTTCACGCCAGTATTCTGTGAGGTCGTGGTACCACCCCGGTTTGAACCGGCCCATACGTGTAATAGCAAAGCTGCCGCGTGCCTCTACCACTGTTATTGATGATAAAAAATTAATATTGATATATTCATTTTTTATCAATAATAATTATATTGTATGAACTTTAAATACCGTAAAGAATTAACACACCACGATATAAGATATAAAACTAAAACCTGTTAAATCTATAAAGGGATATGCGTTGGAGATGAGGAATGACATGAAAAGGTTATTTCCCGGGCTTCATAGCCTAGTTAAGATCTATTTGGTTATCATGGTTACTTAGGTACCAGTGGCGAAGCCTCCATAAAAGCCCAGAAGCCGGGCTTGCTCTATGAAAATGCTCAATCAATAATATCAACTAATAAAATAACTCGTAAACTGTTTCAAACTATTTTAAAGGGCATGACCTCGTAGCATATAATATGTGACGTCAACACTTGGCAGTTTGCTTTCAATTCGAAATACACTAGACTGTCAAAATTAATTAAAGCAAGGAGTTGATTTTGTCGTCTCTCGCACGCGTTGGTTTTTTGCCGGGGTTTCGAGAAGACGATGGCTCCCTTTCTAACCTGTGGCAAAATGTTATATAATGAAATATAACTACGAAATGTTTATATAGCAATTACTATGGAACCAAAAGCCGTGCTTTGCCCTGAAGTTGTTTGAAAATGCGTTAGCGAGTGGGGGTACGGTAATACCTATGCAAGTTCACTTCACATTTAAATGTTTATGTTTGTTTTTGTTGTGTCTGTTAAAAATTTATGCTTTTTCAAAGATTTTTAGTGAAAATGGGAGGATAATAGTGTTTCTTGTGATGAATATAAGTGTGTTAAAGTGCTAATCGGCGAGGAAAAGGTTAAATATTTAAAAATAAAATTTTAACTCAATAAAAATTTCTTCATTCGGGCTCTTTAGTATTAAAGTTTAATTATTCTAGGTGTATTTAAAGGTTTAATAACTCAATACTTATATTATTGTTACGAGCTTAGGGTTCGTGACAATAAAAACTGCCGATTGAATTAAAAAATTTACACTTTTATTAG